TGGTGCAAAGGGGACATCAAATTACTAACCCTGGGATTTGAACCCGGCACCTTTCCAATCACAGGTGCGACACGCTGAGCTGCCCCAGTTCCCCTCCCAGTCTCTTATGGGGGGTTTATCTGTTTGCTTCCCACCCACTACCCATCTGCTGCTTTTGGACAGCAGCACTTTTTTCCCCCCTGTAAACCAGTACAGCATTTATTAATTTTTTTAACCCGGTTCCGTTGGTGTTTCTGACCCGTCCCATTCGACAGCGTGCTGTAATACGGAATCCGTGGAGCAGTGACCCTCCTAAACTCGGCTGGGGGCAAAGGTGGACGCCGAAATGCCGGCATTCTGCCCACCTCGTGCGAAGACTCTGGTCACTATATTGTGTTTTAGGCTGATTTCTTGTTAGGTGGGGGGGTAGGAGTGTGGATGGATGGATGGATGGATGGATTCAAGAGTTTATTTTCAAACATGCAGATGTTGTGCTCCTGTAGCTCAACTAGCAGCTCATTGTGCTTGTAATGTAAAGGTTGTGGGTTCAAATCCCTGAGAGTGTATATGAAGTATAACCCTTCCCTGTACTCTTAAGTTGCTTCGGATAAAAGTGTCAGATGAATGTTTTTTTTTTAAAGTTTAAAAATTCACTGCGCAGTGAAAATCTTGCACAGTGTGACTGACTATTTAATGTGCGTATGACAATAAATTTCTGAATCTTGGATGGATGGATGGAAGAGCAGAGTAAAGGGGAAGGATTTGTGGAGGAAAAGGGGGATGGGCTTCGGTGGAGGGTATGAGAGGAGGGGAGGGTTTTCTTTGGGCTTTAATCCTTCCCTGCGTTTCAAGAATCTCACTGGACTGGTCGTAATGGACACTGGGAGGCAGGAGTCCTCTCTCTCGCTGCCGGAGGCACAGACTTCCCAGCCTGGAATGTTGCATTTCCTGTTCTCTCCCTCCCATGTGTAACTTTTCCCCACTCCTAACTCTATCCCCCCACCCCCCCGTCCCCGGCGCTATGGCATTGTCTGCGTTATCATGTCCCACATTGAGCCGCAGTAGAAATGTTAATGCAGAGGAGCTCTCTGGAGTTCATTACGGCTCTGGCCGGCCTCCACCAGTGTTCCCGTGATACGTAAACAGAGCTTGGTGAGGATTTGGGCGGTGGGGGGGGGGGTTTGCTCTCCCTCTAGTTGAGGGGTTCTTTAAGGTCAGCCCCCACCGCTTTCCCTCCCCCCTTCTGTTTGTGTCTCGTGAGGTTGCCCTGTCAGTTCCGTTTGCCTGTGGAATGCCCCCCCCCCCCCCCCCGTAGCATCGCTCCGAGCCAGGTGTAGCGTTTCAGTGACTCTTTATGTGCCGTACAGAGGGGACACAGGGGGGGCATGGGCCTTACAGGCTGCTAGGATGGCATAGATGGGAAGAAGAGCCCCCACATTATGCAAGTCGGGGGTTGTGGGGCAGTAATGGCGATGGAGAGCAAACCAGAGTTATGTACGCACACGGAATGGTTTCCAAGGACAACACCTCCTGTTTCCGAACCCGCATCTGGTTATCGTCGTGAAGGGGGCCCGTTATCTCCAAAGCAGGGGCGCTAATGTACTGCACGCGGACCTGGGGTATGGAAGCCTTTGTGGGGGCACCGTTCGCTGCCTTCCCCCAGCACTGGGTCTCAGTGCAGTGCCGCCCCCCCCCTTCCCCGGACCAGTCCTGTCAGGTGACATTAGTCAGGGACAGCTCGTCCGGACTCCAGGGCTTACATTACAGTGCATTCCCATCGTCCTAGAAGGATAAACACTTCCTGCATGGGGTCCCGGGGAAAAATGCGCAGTGAGAGCAAATATTTATGCAGTGGAGCGTAATTTCAAGTCTCCACCCTCCTCCTCCAGCACTGGCTGCTTCCGAGGGACCCGCAGAAGGCACCGCTTCACAGACGTCTCCCCCCAACACGAATTTGCGGGGGCCCCACCTGGCGGCTTCTGAAGCGTGTTTGACACTAATGCGTGTTCCAGGTTGGTGGGGGGGGGGGGTTGATGCACTGCAAGTGAAATCCAAGCTGTGTGGTTAGAAACGTGGAAGAAACATCAGCCTATACTGTCATTTCCATTCCTCGTTTGAGCTCCTGTGGTCGAGTCAGACCTGCGTCTCCCTCACGTCCAGTATAAAACTTCTCAGGGGAGCTGGAGATCCGAAGAACGACATGCATTTAGGGGACACTTTTGTCCAAAGCAACGTACGTTTGGGAAAGCAGGGTCACTCGGTCCCTGGGGTAATCGGGGCTTAGTGGTCAATGGCAAAATCACTCTGCTGACCCTGGGATTTGGATCAGCAACCGTCCGATCATAGGCGCAGCATCCGAATCCACAGAGCTATACACCACCCCTGAAGTCCTCATTGTTATTATTTTCCTGTTGTTGATGTTGAAACCGCCTCTCAGACTCCCACAGCCTACCAGCTCACCAGTACACACAGCTGGGCACTTCAGGATAAGCTCCAGATCAAAGGCTCCGCAGCTGGTCCCGCCTCGGATTCAGTTCCCTGAGCTGGTTCTGTGACCTGAGGTCTGTGATTGATATGCCTCACAGACGTTCGCCGGTCACATGACCACGTCTCCTTCCTGGCAGGTGAACCACCGGTCGCTTTTTGTCCACCCGTGTAATTTAGCCGAGTTTGTGGCCGTATCGACGACGGCAGCGGCTCCGCAGAGAGGCGGCGCCGGTCGCGGCGCAGACGTAGGGCCACCAGTTACACCAGCGCACAGGTATGATGGGCGTGGAGGTAAGCTGGCGGCGGCCCAGATTCACCTGTCCCACGAGCCGCACCTGTGAGAGAACGGCGGGGGGGAGGCGGGGTGGGAGGGGCCCCCGGCGAGCGCGGGTTGGGCATAGAGCCACCCGAGGGCCGCGAGAGGGGAGTGGTCATGGGGGAGGCGGGTAAGACAGGCTGAGATCTGGGCGACGGAGACGAGCGGCGCAGGTGTGGGTCGGCGAGTCGGAGTGCGGGTGCGTGCGGTCATGCGGCGTGGCAGGAACACGTGCAAGGCCGTCTGAAAGTAAGACTCACGTTTTATTCACTCCCGTTCATACCGTGGTCTCCCTCAGAGAGCGTGGTGTGCTGAAAGTGAGTTGACGGCGAGCTGATGTCGATCTAACTTCTCCGTGATTACGGAGTCAGTTTTATGTTTCAGGTTCTAGGTTCTTGCCTCTTTACTACTCAGCTAAGCTTTCTCACGCCTCGATTTCTGCACCATGCGGCTCTAACCCGCCTGTGACTCAGGGATCGCCGCGTAGCCTCCAGCTAACCGCAAGGCTGGCGTATCCGTCGGAGACGCCATAGAGACCGATCCGGGTCCAGTAACGGAACACCGGGGCCCTGGAATTTACCTCTCTGAGCCATCGCTGAGGAATAAACTGTTTATCTGAGGGGGCTGAGGAACATACAGTGCGGACGTCGGCTATTTGGGGGTGGGGGTGTGAAGGGGTCCCATCTGGAACTCATTTTTTTTTTCTGGGGGGGTGTTATTATGTTCTTGTTGTGATACTGATAGTCTTACTCATACACCTGAAGCATGTGAGTAAACGTGTGTCTGTGTGCGTGTGCGTGTACATGATCATGCAGATGTCCATCAAGACAAGGTCACTCCCCCAGCGGTGCCCTTTGGGGGGAGGGAGGCGGGGGGAGCCTTAGCTGACATGGTCAATGGGATCTTTCTGTTATTTTTGAATTTGGGGGAAATGTTTGACTTCTCCGCAGGAAGAAAACGCTGTTTGAAGGGTGTAGTGGAAAAGCTACTCCTTCGCAATCTTTGTTTTTTCTCGAATTCCGAGCGTTTTTTCAGATGTCCTATCGCGCCGTTACGAGCTGTAACATCTGTCCCTTTTGCGTGATGCCGCTGACACCGATCTTGGCCTTTTTTTAAACCCAGATTTATTTCTCGTGACGTTGACTGTCCCCCACACTGTGAGTGTCATTGGTTATCGGTGTATTATGTTGGCTAGCATGCTAACCGGGTCATTGTAGACCCGACGGAAGTCACTCTTAAGCGTCACCGTTGAAAAGCAGCAGTCTGTGCATCAGCCTGGGCTGACGTTACATTAGCGGTGTCTGTAGCGGCTGTTCTGAGTTCAAGGATGTGCCCAGAGCAGATATGCGGGATGTGAGGATGCTTGGGGGGGGGGGGGGGGGGCGCGATGGTGCAATGATTTGATGATAGAGGTCTCGAATGGCCCCCATGCCTGCTGTCCGTGGCCACACATCCTGACATCCTGTGTTTGGTTTCAGTCCATGGGCACAGCTGCGAAGGGACTTTTTTTATGGTTCTAAGGAAGAGATCTCAATTCGGCTGAACCAGGAAATAGCTAGCTGAAAGTTGTACTGTTTTGAGGCATGATCCCCCCACCCCCTGTTCCTGGACCCCACCCCCATTGTTCTGGCTCGTGAGCGTGCCTTCCTGTTGCAGATTGGCTGGAAGTGCCGAACGCGGTGCGGTGGCTCTGCACCCCTGAGCGACGGCAGGAGCCCGCGGACGCGCAGGACGCCACAGGCCTGGGTGGGGCGCATCATGGCGGCCTGGCAGTGACCCAGGGCAGCAGCACCAACACAGACACAGGTAGGTGGTGCAGCAGGGATAGGGAGAGGGGAGTAGGGGTGTAGACCATAGGAAAGGGGTGGGGGTACGAGAGAAGGGCAGAGATAGACGCCGGGAGTTACGAAATGGGACAGGGGGATCCATTATTGGGAGGGTCTCTGGAAAAAGCCGCAATACACATTACGGTTCCAAGTTTTACAGTTCTTTTCTTATTAATATTGTAATACTTTATGTCATGGGTGAAACAGCGGCACCTACTGGCCACAATGCACGCCTCACCATGCATGCCCAGTATTTTGGCCAGAAATCTCAACTGCATAAATGCAAAGATGTTACTCGCTATGCGGCGCATAGCCTGAAAAGTTCAGCTGAAAGACTTGGCCACGGGCGCGACTTGTCGTAAAGCTGCGGGATTTTAACCCAGTTATTCCTGTCCTCCCACCCCCACCTCCTGTTGTCCATGTAGTTCAGTTTGGCGAGGGGGAGGCAGTGAGAGAAGACGTGGGGGAAACACGGCACGCTCTAAAGTTCGAAGTATGTGGGAGAGTACGCCTCAGTGCCATTCAGCATTTTCTCTCTCTCTTCCTCCATCGCCGTGGAAACCGCTGCACGAATGGCCAAGTCTGACTCGTGTCCTAAATATATTTATTTGCCACAGATGTTTCGGAAAAAAGCTTCGTCCTCCTTGAGAATGAGAAGAATATCAGAAAGTAATAGATGTAATAATTTAACCTTCATTATCTCTAGACTCTGCACTAACCAGTAGTTTGCTTGCTGCATACTATATCGTTTCAAACCACCCAATGGTACAGCAGGAACTAGTACAAGGTCGCATCTCCTTATTGGAGGACTTGATGGTGCCTTTTGCACACAGAGTTTTACATTTTTGAGAGTATTAATCTATAAGCAAAACTTTAATTTTATAACGTTAGCTTACGTTAGCGTAATTTGTTGATTGTATTAGCATGACGCTAGCATAACGTTACACTTATTCTTCATTATGTCAGCATAATGTTACACATACTTTTTGATTGTCTAACCTTAGCTTGCATCAACATGAATTTACACTTACTATTTGAATAAGGGATAAGCTTATGTTAGCACAATGTTACACTTAGCGTTTGTGTAGTATTAGCTTATGTTAGCATAACACATATTCTTTTTTTGTGCAGCATAACGTTACACAAATATTGTAGTGCAGGCCAAGTGGTCCTAGTTTGCTGCTACCTTGGGTGGTTTTATACTAATGATGTTTCCTCTCCACTGGTATCACTCTGGCGTTCTGTGGGCTAAACGTCGCAGACGTGATGGCTGAACTTTGACATTTATCTGCTTGGGGAGATGAATGTATGTCTATGGGTTTTACCTACTCAGGGAGTGGAATTGTCTGCTGGTGCCAGGATGATTGGGGGAGATCGGCACTGCGCCAAGGCCAGTGGAAGCTGGGGCTGTCTTATTAAATTGGCTTTAACTCGGACTCTGGGCAACCTTTTGATACCATGAGCGTTATCGACTGGCTGAAAGTACGGGTCTGTCTTTGAACCCGGTTAGCGACAGCATATTCTCAGCTCGTCGCTGCAATGCGAATTGGGATTTGGCGCAAAGTCCATGCATCTGTGTCAAGACGGCACTTCTAAATTGCACACGTCTCATTGGTCACCCTCTGGCACCCAGCAGTCGTGGTGTTAAAGCATTGGCATTGCAGATTTTATGTTTGGGGGACTGTGTTTCTGTTCGAACCTGAGGTTTGGGGTTCGTTTCATGTCCAGCGGAGGTCCTGCATTTGGTACAAGATTGTCGCTGTCAAATGAGTGTGCTATGGGCTTTTCCTATATTTTGGGAATTTTTATGGAGTCTTCTCTAGTGTTGGAGTTCTCTCCTGGCCTGGCCACACTCAAACTGGCTGACAAACCTCTGCGTCATGCAGGGGGCATCGACCGTGTCCGGAGTTCCTCATTCCATGAAGTGCGGGCCCTGCATGAGCTCGACATGAGAGCCGCGCCGGAGGAGACGTCCAGCAGCAGCAGTGGAGGCAGCAGCACCGTCCTGCAGCGCCTCTTACAGGAGCAGATGCGCTATGGCGAGGGCCGGAACTTTCTGGCCCTGCAGCAACAACAGCAGCAACAGCAGGGGGCAGCAGTGAGCGGTGGGGGGCCAGGATATTCGGGCGGGGGTGGCCCAGGTGAAGACCATGCCACAGGCCCCCACAACGCCCGACAGGAGCCACAGGGTCAGGAACTGCAGGCCGACGGTGGTATGGAGAAGCAGCTGGGTCCTCGTAGCAATGGAGGAGGGAGCATGGCCGGCGGGGGAGGTGGAGGCGGGAGTGGAGGAGGAGGCCAGGGCCCCAGCGCCGAAGATCTGCCCACCTACGAGGAGGCCAAAGTACAGTCGCAGTACTTCCGCGGGCAGCCGCAACAGCAGCAGCTGCCACCTTCGGTGGGCGCAGCGTTCTATGTGACGGGCGTGAGCAACTCCAAGGTGCGCACCGAGGGCCGCGCGGCGGTGCAGCGCGTGGGGGCTGGCCGGGTACACCAGGACGACGGGCTGAAGGACCTCAAGCAGGGCCACGTGCGCTCGCTGAGCGAGCGGCTCATGCAGCTGTCGCTGGCCACCAGCGGCGTCAAGGCCCATGCCCCCGTCACCAGCTCCCCACTCTCGCCACAGTCACCCCCACCCGGACCCCCGAGCGATTACTACAAGCCCCCAGTACAGCACCGGGGTCCGCCGCCTGACTACCCCTTCAAGGGGGTGGCCTCCCCACCGAAGCAGCAGCAACCGCAGCCCCCGCAACAAGAGCCGGGACACTACTACTCCGACCACCGTGGCAGCCGTGCAGAAGTGCCACAGGTGCGCTACCAGCCCCCCCCAGAGTACGGGTCTTTCCGGTAAGCCTCAGTATTAGATTTATTATTAATGTCTATTTATTTATTCTTTAAACACCGATGATTATACACGAATAAACAAGGTTTTTCATATTATTAATGTTTAGCTGATTTGCCCACTTTTCCTGCATAAGATTAGGCATCTGCTGAGTGGTACGACGTGATTGTCTGTGTCTGTGATTGCTGGACATTTCATGCCTCACCCATCATCTTCCAGGATACATTGGGTTAAACCTGGCTTCATATTTAATATAGATGTAGATCTGTTTTACATTTCTTATACAGAATGTGGAATGTAGAGTCCTGTAGCGGAATGTAGGACTTTTGTAGAGTCCTGTAGCGGAATGTAGGACTTTTGTAGAGTCCTTTACTGGAAAGTGAAGCCACTGCAGAGTCCTGTAATGGAATGATAGATTATTGTAGAGTCCTTTAATAGAATGTGGAACTGTTGTGGAGTACTTCAATGGAATGTAGAACTGTGATAGAGTCATTTAATAGAATGTAGCGTTGTTGTAGACCTCCTTAAAATGAACAAGTGTTCCAGAGTTCTGTAGGGTGTTTAGCTCTTTTATGGAATTTAGAACCCAGTTTTGCAGTTCTAGGGTACAAAGAATGTCATTCACATCCCTTTGGGAATTGTGGCGAAAGAGGGCCCATCCTAGCTGTGTCTGTTCAAAACAGGTTATTAATTATATGGAATTATTTTGAAACAGCTGAATGTACACTTAAGGAACAACTTTTCCTCTTAGCGTTGATGAGTAGTTGAAAGAAACACCCTGAATTTAAGCCTGTTTTTCCAGTCCCTTCTCCACCAGTTTTTGTTGGAGAGGAGATGAATGCCGAAGGAATAATTATTAAAGTCACCCAGAGCATGTTGCTTCATGATTATGCTCAGAAATATGATGGATATGCCCCTGCCCAGAGTCTGTTTATTGTCTAAGTATTTTACCTATGTGACAATCACATTCCAACCTTGACAGATAACGGCTTAGTTATTTTTTAATTGCAGTGCCTTGGGTGTCATTATGAGCAGTGGAATAATGTCAAACAGACAGGTATTTTGTTGTGGATTTCCCATTGTCCTGTAATTTTGAGAAATATTGGTTCAGAGTCAGGACGGCGTGGTGGCGCAGTGCTTAGCAGAGCGGGTAATGCCCTGCCGTGGGTCGGCACCCCGTCCTAAGTCATTCCCAGAGGTGGAAAGTTCAGGTCCAGAAAGTACAAATCCAGACCAAGGTTTTGTTTCAATCAACCAGTTGAGTACGACAAGTCACAATCACAGAGTACTCAACTGGTTGGTTGGAACAAAACCTTGGTCTGGATTTGTACTTTCTGGACCTGAACTGTACAACTCTGGTTACTCCCTGTCTAGTTTTTGGGATAGGCTCCGGACCCCCGTGACCCTGCAGAAGACAAGCAGTGTAGCAGATGAACGACTGGCTCATCTGTCACATGGCAGGGACGCCCAGTTGACCACTGTACCTTCTGGCTTCCGTCTGCTTCCAGATCGAGCAAGGAGGGCACGGGCCACTCCCAGCGGATTACCCATCATCATAGTCCCACCTCCTCTGTCACGTCCATGGGCTCCCTGTCCCGCACGCAGTCCTCCACCTTCAGCAGCCTCCTGGCTTCCTCTCACCCCACCCCCATATCCCACCCCGTGGACGCGACGTTCCTCATCGGTCCCCGGAGTCCAGCCTCACACCAGGGCGACTCTTTCGGCCAGGGACCCCCGCACCCCCCGCAGCACCGCGGCCACGGCGGCTTCCTGGCAGACCCTTACCACTCTGTCCCCAGGGGTCCGCCCCAGCACCAGCAGCAGCAGCCCCCCTACCAACAGCCCCAGCCGCCTCCTCCGCACCACCACCACCACCAGGCGCACTACGGCCACCCGCACGGCCTGCAGGGGGAGCCCTATGCCATGGTAGCGCGCGCGCAGCAGATGGTAGAGATGCTGTCGGATGAGAACCGGCTCCTGAAGCAGGAAATGGAGGTGTGCTGTGAGAAGGTCACCAAGCTACAGAAGGTGGGTCCCGGCATCAGTCATTCAGCCATTTCCTGTCTTTATTTACATATTAAAGTCGAGGAGGGATGGGGGCTATTCTGTCTGTCTTATTACTTACTAGACACAACACCTTTGTCATACTTAAATCATACCCTTTGCTGTTTGAAGGAAGGTCTGTGTCTCCATTATGCTATGCTACACTACTCTATGTCATGCTGTGCTATGTCATGCTATGACATCGGCCACCGTGTTTCCTGTGCTCTGATTCGCTCTTCAGCAACCCTTCACTCCAGGCCTTGTGTACTTGCTGGGTTGACACAAAAACTCTCCTCTGATATCTTGTTCCTATACGTTCACAGTTGTGGACTTAGTTGTTTCCTGTGGTGAATCAGGATAGATACTTTCTTCGCTGGAGACAATAGCGTTTCCTCTCCTGGGAGTTGAGTCTGCAGCCTCTGTGTTCCATCATTTCAGCTTTAACCCATAAGCACCACCATACTTTCTGTGGCCCAGGCAGGGAAGATAACGAAAACATCATTCGTGGTGATATGTGGCTTAGTGGGTTTAGAGACTGACTCTTTAGTCAGAAGGTTGCTAGTTGAAATCCCCAGGGTCAGCAGAGTGGTTTCACCAGTTGGTTCCTTAAGCAAAGCCCTTAACCTCTCGTTGCTCCCGGGACTGTTTGACCCTGCGTTCTCAAAAAAAAAAATACCTTGATTTGGACAATTTCTGCTGAAAAATGAACTATTTACCAGGAAGAAAAAATATTTGGAGAGTGTTAAAACTGGCCCTCGTTTCAGCTGGAGACGGAGATACAGCTGGTGTCTGAAGCCTACGAGAACCTGGCTAAGTCCTCCAGCAAGCGGGAAGCCCTGGAAAAGACCATGAGGAACAAGTTGGAACTGGAGATCCGCAGGCTACACGACTTCAACAGGGACCTCAGAGGTGAGGGGGGGCGGAGCCAGGCGGGGCTGACTTTGAGAATTCGGCAGTTTGAGATCTCCTCACCGATAGGAAAACGATACTGTTTATAAACAATGGTGTGGCAGAGCGCTTATGGGCGTATACTCATTACCCAGAATTCCTGGGTCAAGTCCAAGGAAGGACCCCTGCTCCAATACCCCTGAGAATGGCGTTTAGGTTGGATTGCTCAACTTCGGCCGTCTGCGCAAATGGATAAAAGTTATGGGGCGATCAGGATGAAGGTGCCAGAAGGGTGTCTGAACCGCCGCACTAAGCACGGCTTGGAATAATAAGGCACCAGAGCTGGTTCAGCCAGTTCCTGTAAACGGCGGAGCCTCTCTTTCTTGGGAAGCAGAAGAATGCCAGGGAAATTATCGCCCGTTACCCCCGGCGTGCCACTACATGAGAACCACGGCCGGGAGAACGAGAGCGACTGAGTTTGGTCGGCTTAGCGTATGAGAGAATTTTGTGTGTTTAGGAACTTTTCCCCAAAATGAAGATTCCAGGTCTGATGTGTGACCACATTGTTTACTTTTATCTTGGGAGGCGGAGGGTTTTCTATGGGGATTTCAAAGGGCATCGGGCTTCCTGTTGACATACTTGAGTGCAGGTTGTAATCTCCTCCGCTCTCCCATGCCTAGCTTGCTGAGGACAGTAAAGAAGTCCGTTTTTTGTTTTACCGGCTAAGTATATAGCATCCGAAACGGCTAACAGAAATCCAAGCGTTAAAAAAAAAAAGTAGTTTTCCCACGTCGCTTCTGTTGCTCGTCGTGGCTTGGAGCTTCAGCCTGTATAAATGATGGAGTTTCTGCTGATTGAAAACGTCCCGGCACGTGGCGGGAGGTCCAGAGCAGAACAGGACGTCCCCGCACACTAACCCTCGGCTCCCGCTTTCTCCTGGTCGTCCAGCTCTTTACAGCGAACACGTGGGGGGTGGGGGCTCTCCTTTAGCCTAGCGCTGTGCTAAACATTCCGTCGCATGTTTTTTTTTATTCGGTCGTTAATGCTCGATTGACGGGGAACTGGAGCCCGGTGCGCTCCGAGGGGCTCAGCGTTCTCGCTCGGGACGCCATCGGCTTGGGGAGCTATACTAGCGAAATAATGAAAGGAGACGTTTTGGAGCCAGTTCTCCTCGAGGTTTCGGCACTCCTAGGAAAACATCTCCGTCATAACGGGCCCATTGTCCAAGCTGGCTT